AGAAATAGTTTGAAAGGTCACTCCTTTATATACACATGTATATTGAAATAGCTTGATTTATACCGGACATAGATGTATTTTTTAAAGCTCATTTCGAATTAATGTATCAACTATTATCAATGATTTGTTGTTGTAATCTGTTTTTCACTGTTATCCTATTTCGATCGTGTAAAAGAGTTTTAATTTAGTCACGGAAGAATAAATAGGAATACAATTGAAATAAAAATCGTTGATTCCACCTTTTTATATAGGATTAATGTTTTCATTTTTATTTGTACACTCGCATGCTTATTGCCGGATTGCGCCCGTTTGTTCTTATTACCATATTTGTGTAAAGGATACTATTCTATTGACTTTAGTTCCTGTTTCTTTGAATATTATTATATAGACAATTTTTTTTCTCTTCATTCGATATCAAAAACAACAAAAAGATAAATATCAAATATGAATTCAAATATATTTCCATTTTCGTCGAGCAGATGCGATTCTCTCCTTTAAATGATCAGTATAAGTATGAATACATACTATACACATGATAGTGTTTTATAAGTTTAAGTATTCTTTTTTTTTTAATGGCTGTTCGGTCTGTAGGCCTACTTAAACTTTGCGAGAAGATGTAAAAGCAAATTACAAGTAGCATTAGAGCTTAATATGGTTTAATATTCTGTTTATGTGACGTTCAGAAATAAACCGATCACATCAGAATCATTAAGAAAACATGAAGCATTCCATCTTTTCTAAAGGCGATAAGCATTTTAACTTGTTCGCCGCTCGAGGGGAAAAATAAATGTCAATCCGCATATGAAATATAGTTCATTTTTACTTCATTTAACCGGATGTAAACAAAAAAAAGTGCACTTTTCTTCAATTTTTTGCCACTCCTATCTCGAAATCTAATTGGAGTGTGTCGACAGAAAATTTGATTACAACCTAAACTTATTTTGCATAATTTGGTTAAGTTTACATCGACTTCCATTCTCGAAACATGCTGAAGGTGTTGAATTGGTTAGGGATTCATCCACCTGTATGCAGTTCTACAAACTATCATGCCTTTCTATTCTTAACGCTGATAAAAACATCACTAGTAGAGGAAGTGAATAGAAGGAGATGAAGTAAAAAATAACTACATCCCCAAAAGACTTCTATTAATGCACCACTATCCAATGACCTGACATCAATTTGAAACCTCCGCTTTATAGACCATTTCAATTTCAAGTTCATGTCGCCTTCGTGAAAAATAGTCGCACTTGATAATTATCCGTTGCGTTTTTTTTTTGACAATATAAACCAAAGCACAAGTTTTATTGGACTCTGTACACTGTACATCTGTTGCTAGGCAACACGTCATAGTGACGTCATTGGGGTTGAATCTGACATTTAAGGTCCTCGTTATGTTACACATGGGACCTGTCAATGGATAATGTCCCCTTGATAACGAATATCTCTGGAAATTACTTCGACAGACTTTATCATCTTCTCGAGCGCTAATGGGGCAAGAACCCTGTTCCAAGTGGGGTTGGTTTTTTTTTTTGCACGGTGACAAGATGAGAATTTCTCTTTTTTTAATCTGTCTTCCTTAACAGAAAGTGTTAGATTGGGGATTCGACTTTACGTGGAAGAACGCTTCAGACTTTCGATAAAATCATTTTGATATTCCAAAATACTACAACGTTAAGCAATCTCTATTTCAAAACAGATAATGTAAATTATAAATTTGAGAACTCAGTGTTCGCTTGATTATTTGAAAGTTTTCTTTTTGTTTTTGTTTTGAACTTTACGAAGTAATCTAGGAAACATAATGATTTTTTTTTGGTCATAGCATGTAAGTGTTACTCATCAATGTACTTGAGATAACAAAGTACACCTTTTTCATATAATATATCTGAATTTCGTATTGAGATGTGATTTGTAAACAAGATAGGTCATTTAGTTCACAATTTTTTAACTTCAATTTTGTTTTCAAATTAATTTAAAGAAAGACAAAATTTGTCTAATCGAGTGTCAGTTTAGTGATAGATAACTCAAGAATATAATTTTGAATGGTTTTGGTGATAGAAATGATGATAAATACACCATTTATGTTTATCAATTACCGAAAGTATTACGATGACATGAAAGAGGTTTATTAGATGTATTTACAAGTCATATCAAATAGTTTGAATATGCATTATTAATTTGTTTTTACTTCATCTACAGTAGATATGAAATTTTGAATTATACTAGCATGTCTTTTTTTTTTAAACAACACCTTTGCTATAGCATGGCAACTACGGTCTACCCAGCCTCTGTTTAGCGCTTAGCTGTGAAAATGTGAACCACTTGTCCTATCGATCCTGCCGTGACCGATCGATAGCGGAAATCAAGTCAGCTGCATTTTATTATCGCGCCGTATTCTCTTCCTCTAAACTTAGCCACGTGTAAATAAAATATAATTCCAGCTTGCTGTCTCCCCCGTTCAAATGAGGACGAAATGTACTCCCTCTTTTGACAGTATACATGTCTGCTTCACGCGACGAGAAAAAACAAAGAAAATCTGAATTAACAACCTTTCAGAGACACATTTATCTTTTTCGCGATAACTTCGCACGTTAATGGCGCCAAAAACAACATGTTTTATGGATTGATTGCATGGTGGTGAATGGATACAGACATGGAAACTGTAAAAACACGTTTCTATTTTTATATTTATTCTAGAATAACGACTTCATATCATATCAAGGTAGAAGATACATACTGTAGATAAGGTCGAATTTTCGACCATGAAATTTAATGAGATATAAAAAAAGTTTGATCTCGAGATTGGTCTAGAGACCTAGCTTATTTCGCTGCCAGTCGCCACCCGGAACCCATAGTATGCTTAAAACTATGAAACTGTTATTTGGTCTCATTCTCGAAATAACTTTGTATTAAAGCAGACTACAAATTTTCTGGTGGCGCGTGTAAGTTTACAACCTTTCGTTTGATACTTGATTAAAATGATGTAGTTTGCTAACAAATCGTATGAAGATTATAATTATTTTGATACTTCAAGGGAAACTAAAACCTTTACTTTAAATAATTATGTAACACAGTTAACCATTATTTGAATTATTTGGTGATCAGCCGAGTATTAACAAAGCGACATTATTAAGCAATTAGATTATATTTTAAGTGCACACAATAATATAAATTCAGACTTTTGTTCAGTGCTGTTCATCTTTTGATACCTTTGATACCCTATGGTCAATAATAGTTTCCAACATTTAGATGAAACTTTGACAAACTTGCGCATTTCAGCCGCAGACTCATAAATCGGCTTCCTGGGTGACTCGAAAAATTATGGTTTGTGATAATCACCCACCCCGCAAGTGCTGGGCCTAATGTCCTAGCCAGCACATCATATTGTAATAACTCAATATGTTTAGGTATAAGGTGTCCTCTGTTTACATATATTTGAGAAGTTCGGTATAGTTCTTCTCTTGAGCATCGGATAATGGAGCTGCGACGGCAATGGATCTCTAGGGAAATTCACCGCGTCATTTCTCCCGATATATAACCAAATGATTGATTCTCAGTTTCACAAGCAGAGACGCCATCATATCTGGTAGAGGCAGAGAGCTTTACAGAACGACCAAGAATGAAATAATGTTGAGTAGAGGTGGGATGTATGTACGTGGGTAGAATGTGGAAACGTTGAAAATGTAACCCTGCTCCTTCCCTCCCTCACTTCCCTCTCTTCTCCCTCCCTCTGCCCTTCTCTCTTCATCCCCCTCGTTCCCTCCCTCCCTTCCTCTTACCTTCTCTCCTCCCTTCCTCTCCCTCCATCCCACCCCCTCATTCCCCCATCACCCTCACCTCTCCTACCCCCTCTCCTTTTACCCCTACTCCTCCTCCTCCAAACTCCCCCCCCCCCTCAATCCCCGGAATCTGTGATTTATATTAGACGGGAGAATGTAAGGTGAGATGCATTAAGGAGAAACCCTTGGCATTGGTTGACTTACAATGTATAGATGATATGTTGTGAATTAAGACACCCAACCCCTCTGTATCCATTAATCTGCACAGGTAGGCTTGACGTTCCTCCAGAAACAACAACATGCTCCGCTTAATGATACCTTAATTTGTAATGACTTTGTAGGGATAAACTCTGTGCATGGGTATCCGGACAACCCCCCCCCCCCCATGAGAACATCTTCCAAGACAATCACCAACTAGGAATATTATCGGTGGGCAACTAACCCTGCAAAATTATGTTCCTAGGACTACTTCCCTGGGGCCAAGACATAAATACACTTAGGGTAACTACCCCCAGGACAGCTTACCTTCTTAAAGGTACCCTTATTACCCCCACGAACAAATACATAGGTGGTAACATCCCAGAAAAGCAGGTGTCCGGAGATAAGCGGTCGCTACGAGTAATTTTGTCTGGGAATAGCAGTCCTTAGTGGTAATCCATGTGGTATTCCTGTAATCGAAATCCTAGATTTACTCATTTTACATTGTGTTTTGTTTTTAAGTCATGATATTTTCGTCTCTTTCCATTGAGCAGATGTGACTCCTTAGTTTCGATGGTCAGCATAAGTATAAATATCATAAATTGCTTTTAATTATAATAAGGGCTTCAGGCAAATTATCGATTTGGGTATCCTATGACAATGATATGTTTGTAGGAAGATCTAAGCTTTCAAATGATCACGGAAAACATCTAATCACACTCGAACACGCACACACACGCACGCACACATACACACACACACACACACGCGGCCGTATATGTGTATGGCTATCCAAACGAGGACAGCTTTTGTTCGTCTGTTGTTTCCTGTCCTCAAAAGCCTAATGTAGTAAGACTCGTATCTTTTGTTTGACATCAGAGGACAATTGTAATACTATCCAAGGACTTTTGTTCTCAAGACTTTTCTGTGTTCTATGTCCTCGTTCATATTACAAGCCCACGCATACGCTCACACAACACACACAAATGATTAATCGTATATTTTCTTTTTGTATTTTACTTTCAGCTCTTGGAGACTTATCTGACGTTCTGTGGTATCGGGATCAGTAACGCCATGCTCTTCGACACATACATGAAGGAATACGACAGAAATAGGGTGAGAATTTACACAAAAGTTATTTTTTTAAAATGATAATGAAATTTATCTTCTTCTAGTTGTATACCGCCAGCCAAAATTAAAAAAAAAGAACAAAACACCTGTCCTAGCAAATTCAGTTAAGCTTGAAATGTGTTTTTTCTTTAAATAGTTGCGACTTTTTCAAGTTCATGCAAAATGAAATCTTTACCCGAAGACAGAGCAACGGAGATTTCGCGATGTCTTTAAAAATAAAGTATTTATGTATACACTTTTATTTTTATTTTTGCACATTCTCAATTTTAAAAAGTCGTTTCCTTAGTTAAACAATATACAGAACGTCTTTTAATTCTTAAATGTTGGTCTTACTGTGTGCATCCAGGGATATATTGAACCAAAGTATATTGCCTTTAAATGGCCTTCGTGGTGTGGAGAAGTGTTAAAGTGTGTACGCATCGGTAGAGCAAGTCACGTGACAAAAATCGGCCCACCTTCCGCAGGCAATATTGTGTTTTAGCTGACCCCTTTCCATTACCAGAAGCCACGAATGATTAGGGTCAATCGAAAAGGTTTATGCTAATAGTCCATCCGAGCGAAGAATAGAAAGGCTATCGTTTATCCCCCGTAATGGATATGTGACGTTTCCGCATATCTCGAAATATTTACGATGATCAAGTATGATTTTACACACTTTGAAAGAGGCACATTGATGTGAAACCCTCATTTCTTCCATATTACGCCAACGGGGAAGAGAGATAACCATGTAAATTCTCGATCTATCAGTAAATGCTATCAACCTAGCTACAAGTGAACTTTTCTTTGTGTCAGCTTTCTTTAATAATTCTATCAAAATTTAATTTAAAGTATCAGATACATAGTGGGGCCATAAAGGAATAAAAAACGAACTGACATCTTGCCACGCGTTTTACGAATTGATAGCTTATTGGGAGCTTGTTCTCAGTTAAGCGTTAAAATTCACCAAACCGTTCAGTGTCTAACCTTCCCAAAGATTTTTTCCGTCGCGATCTACACGAAGCTTTTACTGACAATTTATTCATCGGAAGATATTTTGTTCTGAAAAGCAAACATCATTCTTTTTTACGAAAATCAGAAAGGGGGTAATCCAAAGAGCAACTTTAAATTTTTTTTTTTATCTAAGTGAGATGTGAACTTATCCTATTTACCATTCATTCCATTTAGTAACACTGGGGAGTGTTTTACAAAGAATAAGAACGACTTATCTTAAACTTGTACTGTGACAGGCTGTTCATGCCACTGGTTGCTCTCTCCATTTCTGGCATTGCTTTCTCAAGGGAAGTGAAAATCGTGGTCATAAAACTAAAGAATTTATATTTTTTGATTGTTCATTGTTGAAGGAAAAGAAATTATCTAAAGGTCATACTTTCTCTGGTATTTTTCCTATAATTTTACATCTGGTTCAAATAAATAAAGGGGTACTTACCTACTATTAATAGTATAAGTCCAAGTCTTGCATAGAACTTGAATTAAAGTAATTATTTTTCTTCAACAATTAACTTTTTAAAAAAGAATAAATTCTGTAGATTTGTGAAGTCCCTTGTGAGATCAACGGTGAGAAAAAATCCAGTGGCGTGAATGGCCTGTCACATAGTTCAAGTCTAGCTTTTAAGTCGACCTTAGTCTTTGTGAAACACCCCTAGGTTTTCAAATTATACTTAGCTTCAAATAGAGAACCTGTTTTGCATAAAATGTACCTGGAATCTCGGTCTTTTTTATCATAATATTTTTTAATGACATTTGTTTAATTCTAAGTCCATAACATTCAACACAACAAATCAGTGTGTTGTAGACGATATTTGACTGATATACACTTCTATGACGTATACAACTTAACACGATACTAATATAAGTAATTCTCTATGCTTGGTGGGTGATCGATGAGAAATCTCGCATGATCATTAAGTGCTCTCATTAAATTCACCCTCCTAAAGAATGTACAGATACAGAGGATATGGTTCATAAGTAAAAAAAAAAAAATAAGAGAAATGAAAGGAGAAAAGGGGAAATCGCGTTGCCTGAATGAAATTGATATAGATAAGGTCAAAGGATAAAAGGATAAAATCTTATTATTTTTTTTTGTGTGTGCAAATTATGCCAAGTATACATCACATCGCCATGTATTCAACCGAGATTTAAGCGATAAAGACTTTAACGGAATGGATGAGGGAGGGAAAATGCTAGCAGAATAGAAAAAAAGCTTGGAGATGGTGTACATTGAAAAGAAAAAGGGATAGCCTAGTCGCCACATGGAGACGTAATGTTTAGGCAGTGTGGAACTAGACAGTATGGTGTAGGGTAACGAAATATAAGACGATTAACGAAACGTAATAACTTGTCTAGTAAGACAAGCGAGGACAGATCTTTTGATAATCCCTTCCGATTTACGAGATACAGACGGTTACTGGGGAAGAACTCGATGGTGGGGAAAAATGAAGAATGAGAAACGAAAATGATGACGAAAATATGTCAGCACACAATAGGGAACCGTCCAAGGGACAAAATCATCGGTGTTATGCAAATATATACACATAGGCGCCAGCATAAAGGTAAAGGCAGTAAAAGGATCACCAAATATAATGACGTCGATGAATTATGGTGAGCAGGTTATATAACAACAACGGGGAATGTGTCTTGATAAGGGTAATGTACTTTGGGATTTTGAGGTTGACGAGTTTGAAACATTAAAGAAAGAGCAATAAAATGTGCAAACGTGGATGAAGTTGTAAAGCCCACGGCGTAGTATTGAATGAGTTAATGTTGTCTATAACCATTATTATTAAACCACACATCACCAGATCCTCTGACAGGGTCATGAAAGGACCAGCCTATTATATACACACTCCGTCCCGGTGGTAGTTAGGGAACGAAAGTGGAGGCCACGGATATCAAAGATTTAAAAATATATATATATTTAAAACAAATTCTAGAGGGCTGCCAGAAGAGCAACACTCTAACAAATACATGTACATTTATAAAAGAGACGATAAAACCGATAAGCCAGGTAAAATCCAAAGAATGTATTTAGAAAAGCCTGAAATCTTAGCTCTTTAGTTTAATGCTGCGATATCTGCTGAAGGCTGTTGCCCCTCCATGGCACCCCTTCAGCTGCTTTGCTCAAGGGATGCGTGATGAAATTCGAGTACGGTAGCATTTCCTGCTCTCGGTTCAGGTTTATAACATTTCACACTCGCAGAGATTTTTCTCCATCCTCCAGGAGGTGAGAACGGTGGAAACCCTCTGGGACGCATTCGAGGAAGTACATAATCTGCTCCGCTACTGGGAGGAACATAGACCTATATGCACATTTAATTGGCATGTCGTTTGATTACTGGCAACTTTTAGGTAGACGTGGATTGTTATTCACAATTTCTATGCATGGGCTGTACAGAAGCGATTTAATATTCTGTTCTGTTCTAGGAATACCAATTTGATCTAATTCATAATTCTCTGGTCTTTTCATATTGTACTCTTGAATCAATTATTTATATGAGAGTAAGTGACTGCAATAATGAGGTTTATATCTAGTTCCTTCTGCATTCTTTTGTATCCACATTAGCTTAAACGTGCATACAAAATAATCATAATTTTACCGTTATTGGCCACATTATAGGTTTATAATCTTCTTACTCACCTGATATTTCCTTCCTCTGATCGCAATCAAATCCATATCCACGCCCCCACTCATTAAAATGCAAATTTGTCTATGTTTGAAAATTTCCTTCGGCAATCAGATAATCATAGTTGGTATACAAAATATGAGGGACTACAATAGTTAAAGGGGAACTCCACCTTGATATGAAGTTGCTTTTGATAGAAGCAAACAAAAATAGAGGAATAGGTCAGTGAATGTTTGATCACAATTCGATTACAAATGAGAGAATTATGAAGTTTTTGAAGTTGCGGACAATTAATTGATCAATTAATTCTGTGACGTATCTTGCGAGGTTCTCTGCCTTTCGCTATGTACTAACAACAAATCTGAAATGTCTATTTTACCTACAGAAATATTCAATCATACATGCACCCTAAATATGAGTATTGAAAATATTTTTCTATTCAACCTCTGTATGTTAAAATAAATTTTCCGTCGTCAATAACTAAGAAAATGAAAGTTTGTGAACTTTCTGTACATATCAAATTGGGGAGGAGCTCGCAAGATGGGTGACAGTCTTGCCAATTTGTGTTTCAGTGATGACAACGTTTTAGCGGTGTGACTGGTTATTAGTCCCTATTGATAAATGTTCACTCTCCTTTGTTGTAAGATTCAAATTGATTTATATATTTTACCCTCTTTTTCTTCCCATTTAACTCTTTTCTAGAAACTCTTAGAAGTTGCTCATGACCTGTTTGAAGAGCAAACGAGTCTGGACAACGTTGTTCAGAAAACGATGCTACGGGCCCAGTCATTACTCAAGTGTGAGCGCTGCTCAGTAATGATCATCAAAGACCCGTCGGCAGAGGTGAGTTTGTTCACACTTACTTACAAGTTTTGTTTGATATACAAGTAGCAGAGAGGAACACAACTGTACTTACGTAATGGGGTTGTATCTCTCAAAAGCATTCTATGCGCAGAAGACGACCCGGAATGCTTCAGATATTAGAGAGAAATTACTTAGTATATTTTCTTCTCTCCTTCCCCTTTTTGTCAATGTACTTTTAGGTCCCAATTTCATACATGATCTCCATTTTGAAAAATTATATTTGTGGGGTAAGCACTCTAGTTTTTGGCACAAACTCCTTTTCTGATTAGCAAATTGAGGAGAGAGAGTTCAGCTAGAAAAAAATGAAACACTTTATTTCAGCTCGTGTTAACAATTCAATCTGCCCTGTTGTTATTGCAGTTTGTCTATAAAAAAAAGAAATTCGAAGCTTCCTGAGCATGTTCAGAATGGCACCGGTCGCCGGATAAGTGTCACTTATAATGGCGTCACATACCCTAAAACATAAGGCTTCGCGCTTACCATCTCGTCTGTTATTACGACACGCGTGTGTCTAATGTAGCAAAGAGGGTGGACGGAATAGCAGGTCAATAAACCGCTCTGATGTCATGAGTCGCTCTATATAGGTTGTAATTGAAGTAGCCATGATTTGTGACTATATTGTAGCTGTTAACCCACGTCTCAGTTGAGTCATAGAAGTAGTTTTGTACTTGCTCTTTCCACGTCTCCACAAGTAAATTATTCCTTTAAACTGGAGAAAAGGGTTTAAATCGGATTTGAGAAATATCCACACTGTTGTACTCTTTCGCGAAACTTGAGGGATTTATACAAGTAAACTTGATGGACGTTCAACTGATGTTTCATAAAGTAGGCAGCTATTGCGAGATTTGTCTCCTGGATAAGCCAAATTTGATATGGAAATCCGATAGCCGACGCCCAGGGGCGTTGAGATGAGAACTGTATATTATCTCTTGACTACGATCCACAACGCAGAGTTGTGTAGAAGGTTTCTCGTCTCTGTATATTGTTGAATAATTAATACCGTCTTAACGTGGACTGGTTGATTTCTTACTTCTTTCTTGCATTCGACTTTATTTGAAGTAAAGGTTCATGCAAACGAGGACAATTGCCGCAATTAATACGCACTTGAAGTATAACATGACGACTCTGTGTAATAGAAAAAATAATAATGAAATCAGGCTATCCGAATTGGGTAAGATTGTGAATAAGAGCCCCGTGGCATTGTGGTCAAATCACTAATTACGTGATGAACATTTTAAATCATAGTATAATTATGGCTTGTATCTGAATGCTTATATAATCAGTGCGTGCCAGCATGGGATCAAGCCATGCATCGCAATATATTTTAGCTTTAGCTTTACCCGAGATTCTGGAAGAATGCTGTAATCTCAACAGTCGGGTTTCCATCTTGGTAAAATTTATCATACTGATGTATTGAGGTTTGAAAAGATCACTATCGTATTGCATTAACATTCAACAGCAAGATTTCCCTTTTGTAGGGGTGTCAAATCGATCCCATATACTCATCCTAACATAGATTACTCCTTCAAATCTTATTCGTCATGTCTGTATACATAATCCACTCATGTCAGTACGCCTCTGAGAACCCCCACTGGTTTTAATACACCCCCTCCATTGATCAGCATCCCTCCAAAACAGTTCCAATAATGAATGTTTACCTTCTTTATTAAACCATGTGTGCAGCGCCAGGAGAGCTTGTAATCATTTCCAGCCCCGGTGGAAATTTAATTCAATAATATTTCACCTGAGCGCGAAACGTTTAAGTTATCGTAAATCGGCCGCGGTCTCGGATCGCGATGAAAAGAAGACGGCGATGATAATACATCTGTATGCCTGTCCACTCTCTTCAAACCAATATGCAGACCTAGATTTGGAGTGCCTCGCCATTTCTGATCAAAACTCAACAAGTGGTGTGCAAACATTGGCCGAGCTGCCGATGTAATGGAGATCTTTCCCACTCACGGAGAAATTCTGGAGTTTTGTTCTCTTTTCTCCTAATCTTATGAGGTTGTGCTTGCAAAAAAAGAAAGGAAAAAGAAAGTAAATACCGTGGTTAAAATCGAACATTAAAGTAGGATGATAATTCTGAAGTGTACTTACGTTAAAGTTAAAAATAAATTGTGGCAAAAGAATCCTACTTTTCTTGTGAAATCAGACTAAAATTACAACATGGAAGAGATGTATAAGTGCTAAATTATAGAATGCGATTCGTTTTTCTGTTTTAGGGGTTGTACCGATCCAAAGAGGTGCAGAAACAAATTCCAGGGCCCTCTATGATAAAAGAGTTGCGGTTGGTTCAAATCAATCACAACTTAACTATTAATCGCAACTGTGTTCGTAATAGATAGGAGTTGCGATTAATTTCAAGTTGCGATTCATTCGCATCAACAGCAACTCTTTATAAGACGGGCCCCTGATCTTAAATACCTCTCTTTCTACACCCTTCATTGTTGTTCATTTAATAACATCAACCGTTGTTTCATAAGCACGTAAAATTAATACAACGTACCATCAGTTTTTAACAATGCTTGTGACAAAGTTGTCTCCTACGTAATTACCATCGATTTGTGTATACCTGAAGGCATAGGCATATCCTACGTTCAGAGATTTTACGAAGTAATTTAGATATTAGATAACTATTATTGGTGTATATGGTGGTGGAAGGTAATTTGATGAACAATGGACAGAAATGATTACATCTTGATGTTAGATTTGAAGTGGATAAGGAATGAAACAAAAATGTTCTGTTTTGCTTTGTCGTGTAACGATTCTTCTTGCAATTTCAATGGAATGAAATGAAAATGAAATTCAAGATTATTTTTATGATTTCAGACCGATAACAAAGGTAAGAAACTTATTGCTTTTTGAAAATTCATAAAATTGGAACATCGCAGTCTTTCCGAGTAAGCAAACAGCAGTGTTAAAAAAAACCTCAACTGAGCAAAGGAAATCATTAAGAACGCACTACGTTTTAGTATAGCATAATATCTTTCAGTAGCGATAATGTTTATTATTTATGCGTTTTCTAATACCGTATTATTACGAGGGATATAAAACCAAGAAACACAATATATGATGTGATCAAACATCATCCAACGCACGGTAATGTTGTCAGACGATCTTGACAGTTCCTCAATCATTGTAGAAGATTAATTACAACTTGAAGGAAAAAAGGAATAATATGAAATTGGAGTGAACATCGAAGTGTAAGGATTGAACGCCATTGTAGAATCGTAACCTGTATTTTTGAGGCGTAATGTTAGGTATGCATGTACAGTTATCGTGATTATGGCCCTTATTATCTTACACGAACTATTGGGATTAAATGAATATTGGTTTCAAGATTTCAATCATTTAAATAGATCATCCTATTTTTTGTTTTTAATATCTTGATTACGCTGGGTAAAAGCAGATTTTAATGGTATAAACAAGAGTATTACAGAGAAAGAGAAACGAAAATAGGGGGGTTTGATTTTGAAAGTATTCCGGGCTTTCCGAGTCAGCGCCTTCAAAATTGTTGTTAACATGTACCAGAAGGTGGGGGAGGGGCATTATAAAAACAAGGTTAGTGAGTAGGATTTTATCGGAACACGAAATCAAAGAATTCTGCTGTCTGCTCACAACAAATCTCTTACGAGGGAGTTCCATTACAATCGCCTTCATCTATGCATTAAATCGTATGTGTCTTGTTGGGATTGTGCGACTTTATCTTATGCGCTTTTGTGATAAATGAACTTCCGATGAGTCACCTTATATGCAGTGTACTTATGTACTCAAAAGAGTGAACATGTTGGTCCAATGTTGTCATTTTATAGCCACGCTGTCTAGTTTTGATTACGACGACGTCAATAAGCGTCAAATAACCTGGACAGATTATCATATATATATATATATATATATATATACATAATTATATAGATATGTCACATTTCAACCAATTATGTAACTTGTTTTCATAGAATTTTAGTTAGGCAGGTATTATGTTTCGTTTAATCTCTAATGTTATAGATACATTCTTTTGTACAAGCATGGAAAGTAAACAAGAAAATATGAATTCATTAGAGGAGAATGTTGAATACTTTTGTCCATGGTAATATCAATCCTGAAGCAGTATGATGGACAGGAACATTTATTTTCTGTTGGGTTCACGTTAGGGATCGAATGGTCTATTAATCCCTACAACCAGAACCCACAAACTACCTCCCTTTTTATGTCAACTTCCCAGACTAGAATATCATAATCTAATTGTGTTCCTTACATCCTTCAAAAAATATTCCACACAAGGATTACAGAAGCTTCAGTTTGTTGGATTTTCTTTCATGCGTATCATTGAATTCTTTATTTTCATATTGTAAATATATTAAGGTTGAGTTGGAAAATGCCATTGGCCTTTACTGCCCCCTTTTGGCATACATTTTTATGAACTCGGTAGTTCCTCTGACTTCCTTCTGTGTCCGTATAAATATCTCCGCGAGATGTACATTGATTTATGCGTTTAGATGTTTGGGTTCGAACATCTCGATATTCTTATACTATACATGAATAAAAAATAGCAAATCATAATAAATTATGGGCAAGTAGATTTACAAATGGAAAATATTCCATGCCCGTCAAATCTATAATTGATTCAGGCAAAGGTTTGTTTCGATGCATGTGTAGTCTGAAAAAATATCATAGAAAAGTTTGATGATTGTACATGGCATATTTAGAACAAAACTCTCGTGAGGCATGATTATGAGAGAGTATGCAGACAATTTATTATTCACTACTTAATCTTCAACATACTCTTTTCCATGATTCGAGAAATGACAGGCAGTCTGATGCCCTCTTTTCTGTGACACGAGATGAATTGCACTTGTAGAACAACAAAAGAATGACTAAGTATGCGAATTTATATTACAATGTCGTCTGAGTGATGTCTGGAGGCACCTTTTGTTATTTCTTCAACATAATTAAACTGTCACAGTGATATTTGTAAT